CACTGGACTCGAAGTTTGTTCAGTTACTTATCTTCTCGCTCTTGTGTGCTCTCACCAAGATATCTATTCTCTTTACACATGCTTTGCCATCCAGTCAGAAAGAAAGGTGCAAACGTTCACAGTAGAAAGGAGATATAGTTATTATCGGAGCAGACCAGTGTTTGGCATTCTATCAAAAAAATAGTGATCTGCCATAATTAAAGACTTTTAAGAGGGGGTCTGCCATTTCCCTTTTCATCCTATTTGGATGTTATAATACTTTTTTGTTATAAGCAATATTTTAGGATGAAAGAAATCAAAGAGGCTCTTTCAGGTCTCATGAGGTGATGTCAGGATAGGTCTGATTGCACAAGCAATCCAAATAGTCTCTTAGGGCAGGAATATTCTCAGAGGCACTAACCAAACAATGTGTGTTCTAGAAGGGCATGTATTACAGCCTCTTGGAGTTGCCAGAATGTTTGTGGAGGTCTTAAAGCATGTCTAATAAAATTAATGTAGCTACAAAAGACCCTTCCTAAAAGTTCTATGACCAGAACAATTACAGTCCATTGAGTGCGACTTCCCTGCCTTCCTCCTTCTGCTGGAGCCCGAAATCCACGCACACACCCCGGAACTACTGCTCTGGGGGGACAGGGAAAAGTAAAAGTCTGCCATGGAGCGATCAGCAAAAATCATTCCTCTTTGAGCGTTCTGAACTTTTGGATGGGATCCAAGCCATTAACACATAAAGAAAATTAACTGATGTCTATGGAAGAGGCATGCAATTTTGATGTTACATGTATTTCAAAATATATTTTGTCCTTTTCAACTCAGGAAAATGGTCAAAGAAAGTATGGAGGGCCACCACCAGGTTGGGATGGACCACTACCAGAAAGAGGCTGTGAGATTTTCATTGGAAAATTACCCCGGGACCTCTTTGAAGATGAACTTATACCACTATGTGAAAAAGTAATGCTTTTATATTCCCTACCTTTTCTTCTCTTACATATAGAAAACTTTTTTATAAATGTGTTTGTTTTGTTATGGTAATGTGGGAGTGTATCCAGTGCCTGGGACAGTGGCTGCAGGCCCGGACAGCTCAGCAGAATTCGATAACAAAAAACCTGAGAGACACTGTTCCAGTTATTCAAAAGTTGGTGTCACTGTGGTCCATTACCCCATTCTTTAATGCTGATGCAGCTGGAAATGGAACTGTTTAACTGAGGGGGCTGACAAAAAACCTGAGAGACACTGTTCCAGTCATTCAAAAGTTGGTGTCACTGTGATCCATTACCCCATTCTTTAATGGGCTACTTAATGCTGATGCAGCTGGAAATGTAACTGTTTAACTGAGGGGGGCTGGCACACACATACACACACTCCACTCCTTACCTGCATCCTAGTAGTGACTGATGGTGTGAGCACAGACATTCTCCTTGCCTGTTGTGGACAATACGCAGTGGTATGTGTCATACCCTGAGCAAAGTTTGAAGACTTCCTCCAGCCTAAGGAGCCTTCCTCCCAGGCACTCTTCCAAGTCCAATGAAAATCTGCTGTTAGAGGTAGCATCTTTAGCCTAAGGTAGGATGCATGCCACTTCCAATGTAGTAGTAAGGTATGTGTTTGGTATAAACTGAACCAAATACCCCCAAAAAACCCTTATTGGTGTTTTTCAGGTTTCTATACAGACAAATGCAGATTAGACAATCTGATTCGGCTACAGATATAGCTGGCTCAAATAAAAGCTGATATTATTTGGTTTTTATTCAGGCCAGCTATATTGCTGAGCTGTGCTGTGGTCACTGTGGCAGGGCTGCTTGGAGCAGGCATTCCCTTTACTCATGGAGGCATGCTGTCACAGCAGTGTAACTCCATGGGTGAATGTCTTCCCTTCAGTTGTGAAGTTGCACAGTGGCAGCATGCCTCTGCGAGTGAAAGGAGAAGGCATTTAACTTCCCTTCACTGTTGGAGGTGTGCTGCCAGTGCGGCTCAACTCTGCCAGTGATGGGAAGACATTTATAAATTCCTTCACTTCACTTGTGGAGTTGTGCTGCCAGGGCGGCATGCCTCCACCAATGAAGGGAGAAGGCTTTTAATTTTTAAATGCCTTTCCTTCACTTGCGGAGTCGTGTAGCCACCATGGCACACCACCGACCCCCCCGGTCAAGTCACAGCCGACTTATGGCTACCCTATAGAAATTTCAAGGCAATCTTTCAGAGGCCGTTTGCCATTGCCTGTCTCTGTGAAGCAACCCTGGAGTTCCTTGGTAGCCTCCCATCCAAATACTAACTAGGGGTGACCCTGCTTAGCTTCTGCGATCTGATGAGAATATGCCTAACATATGATCAGGCCACATCTGAAGGCTAAATAGAATCCAGCCGGAGCCCATCTTTGGGCTAAGGCAAGACCCGCCAAACATTATATTTCTAAGAGATTAACTAGGTCACTGTAGGAAAGGGTTTGTGATCATAGTTTATAGTTTGTAAGATGAACTTATGTGTCAGGTGCTTATATGTTTTTATTGAATTGTTTCAGTATTCTATATATACTTTTTTTAAATGCTGCTTTAACATCTTCAGTGTTTTAAAGTTGAAATGTTTTGAAGTTTTCATGTTCACTGCCTTCAGGGTCCTATTTGGGAGGAATGGCAGAATAGAAATGTTTTAAATACAATAAACATGAAATAAGTTTAACAAAACATAATCATATGGCCCTCTAATTGCTCTCTCCCAGGTTTATTTAACTTCTCCCTGGAACACAAGAAAATAGTACAGAATAGCCATCTTGTAGACTTCTTCAGAACAGCCTGCCCCCCCCAGTGTAGCTGCCCCATTCCCACCGGCTGTTCATGGGTCAAAATCCACAGTTAAATAAGGCCTCATGTGTGTAGAGAGGCCAATGGACAATAGGATCTCTTGATTCAGCAACAGAAAGACTGTACAAAGAAAACCTATGCATGTACACCCCTGTGCTGGCATCGTACTCTAATTCCAGTGCAGGTCTTGTGTTTCTACCAGTGAGCACAAATCCATGAAACACTGGGACTCTCGTGAGGATGAAGAACATTCTGTGTGGCCCAGTCCTTGTTCAGACAGGCCTTGTGGAAATAAAAATTAGAGGGTTAGCGCCCAACTAAATATTCCACATGTGCAAGAGGGGCAACTATCACAGATTCCCCCTCCTGAAGCAGGCCTACAACTTCCTCCAGGCTACTGCAGCTGGACCGCTATCCCACCAGACCAGTACTGGGGGGGGCATTGGGGCTGCTCTGGGAGGGGAGGTGGTTGGCGAAGTCCCATTTCCTCAGATGGAAATCCTTCCATTCTGGAAGCTGTAGGCGGGATCCAAACCCAACTCTAAAAAATAAATAGTTGCTCAACTATTGTAACCTTTAAAAAGTCAGTCCAATGAAACACAAATGGTCAGTTCTTCTCTCAGGACCACTTCCAAACATTGTGCATTTCACCCATATGAATGGCCCTATCCTATGGATGCAAGCATTCTGTGTTGAAAGATATATATATATATGAATGATAGTAAAAGGGTACACAAGTGTAAACAATAGACATTTTTACAGAAGTCTTGACTGCACCAAAGACTGATGTGGGGCGGGCACAGAATATGTATATCACATGGGGACTATGCATTTTTGTCCCTCCCCTTCAATCTTACCTTCAGACAGGACCAGAATATGGAGAAAGAAAATGCAAGTCACCTTTACTTTTCCTCTTGCCATTACCACCGACTGTTTAAAGAACACCTAGTATCCTACTGTACCAGTGGAATCATAACATAGCATGAGAGGGATATGAAATAATTTCCAAAAGAAGCAGACAGCCCCTCCATCTTCCTAATGTTCATTGTTGCTACCAGGGGACCAAAGAGTGTCATAGAAGAAGAGTCATGTAAATTGCCTACACCAATTTAAATTGGTAGGTATTTTTCTGCTGCTTGTGCATGGGCTCTTTCTCTGATGAACAGTACCACCCTATGCAGAGTTATGCCATTCTAGACCCATAGCCTTCAACTGACTTTGAAAGGTGTCACTCTGCCTAGGATGGCACTGTTAGAAACCTCTTCTTTCTTTTTCTTCTTAGCACAAGCAGAAATTGGATCTTTTTAAACACAAAGGACAGATCAATGCAAGAAATCATTACTTATATTTGGATTAATGCACTCCACAATTCCTCAGACATGCACAAAAGAGCAGGCAATGTGTTATCAGTGTGTGCCATTTACCTTGCTAACTAGATCAACAGTGCTAGAGCAACATGGACTGTTAACTTCAACAATTGCTTCCTTTTGTTTATTTTGACTTTGAACATGGATCAGAAGGTGTATCTTGAACTTTGCTTTACAGTCATGGACAATGGTCAAGCTACTCTGAAGAGAAACTTACACACAAGTAGAATAGCAAGAACATCAGAACTTTGGGCACTGGTGTTTTTAAAAAGTGTTCTGTCAATGAAAAAAAGGTTATAGAAGATTATTCTTTGTTCTTTCAGATTGGTAAGATCTATGAAATGCGAATGATGATGGACTTCAATGGAAATAACAGAGGATATGCTTTCGTAACTTTTTCCAGCAAACAGGAGGCCAAGAATGCCATCAGGCAACTGAACAATTATGAAATTAGGTAAACCCTGGTTGGTATTATACACCTAAGACTGAAACTGAGTCAACGAATTATCCTGCAAATGTTTTTGCATAACTTGGTTACTCAAGGCCTGTGTGGGACTTAAATTACAAAAGCCATGCTGCAAACCACACTGGGTCCCACATCCAAAGCACACATGGTATAGCAAGGATTTATTCTAGGATCAGCAACTGGAATACCTTGGGCCAAATCTGACCACCAGAAGTCCCTTAGTGACCAACTTGCCATCCAGTCTCAGCATAATCTCCCTCACAGAGTTCTTGTGAAGATTAAAATGGATTTTATGCATGAATAAATCCTTCTTGAGTTAGATTTTCTATGTAACATCTTCTCTCATGAAAAGATGGGAAATATTTTCATGAACAAAATCTTTAACCTACTAATTTATTTCTCAAAAAAAAAAAAAAAAGCTGATTGCTATTGGGTATACTCCATACCCATTTGAAGGCATTGTTTATCAGTTGATGATTTGCTACCTGCACCATTCAGATACTTTTAACATGGCAGTCACTTCAGAGGTTAGTCGTGTTGGTCTACAGTAAAACATATTTGAGTCAAGTCTGACAAAGGGAGCTTCGGCCCTCGGAAACTTAAACCGTGAGACTCTTGTTGGTTTCTAAGGTGCTGCTGGACTCAAATCTGTTTTAACATGACACTCATAGTTCTGAAGCATAGTCTTGATCAATAGTTCTCACAGAAGTAAGTTTCACTACAAAAATGGAACTGTTGTTTATATGCAGGAATGGACGGCTCCTAGGGGTTTGTGCCAGTGTAGACAACTGCCGTTTATTTGTAGGAGGAATCCCTAAAACCAAGAAGAGGGAAGAGATTTTAGCAGAAATGAAGAAAGTTACAGATGGTGTGATTGATGTGATCGTATACCCTAGCGCAGCCGACAAAACAAAAAACCGTGGATTTGCTTTTGTGGAATACAGCAGTCACCGGGCAGCGGCTATGGCGAGAAGAAAACTGCTCCCAGGTAGTATGCATAAGAATACTGCAATATTGCTGGGTACAGAGTCAGATGTTGGCCACCAACCTAAGCAACCAGATGAGTGTTCCCAGCAAGGGAAGGAGAGTTCAAGGTGCATTGCTCTGTTACCACTATGTAAGAAGTCTTGCGGGTGTATGAAGAAAGAGATCTCCATACCATATATGAGACCTTTTGCTGTCTCATACACAAACACATGAGAATCCAGGATCGTTGAGTGCAGCAATAACTTGGCAGCAGTCTAGCAGCTTGTTGTACAGCCAGCAAATCTTAATAGCACGTGTAGGATGAATGTAAGGTAACAGCTTTGCTGCTGTTGCTGATCTAACCACAGGAGAATTCCAGTTATATCTCCATAGCTGTACCTATAACAGTAGGAAAAGGGGTTTCCTATTTTTTCCTGCTTAGGACTCAGCTACTCAGGGTATAGGAAAACCAGGTTTAGGATCTCTGTAATTTTTTTTTTAATCCACAGGATATATTTTTTCAGGGCAGCTATAATAGCTATATCAATTTCTGACAGGCTTCAGTCTGGTTTAAATGTCTCTACTAAATACATACATATGTAACCCCACTGAAGAAGACAATGAATCCAAACCACCAGTTGTGAATTTACAAAGTTCGGGGAAGGAGACCCTCTGTGTTCTTACTTACACTGCCTTGCCATGGTGAATAGCAGTTTCCATAATAATGTCAATTCATTTTAGTAATAAGATCCCTGCAGAGAGATACTTCCCTCCCCCGAATCATTTATGTGTTATATCTCATTTGAATTCAAAGTCATATGTTTATGGAATTCTGACTGCTTCACAGGAAGGATACAATTATGGGGACACCCTATTGCAGTAGATTGGGCAGAGCCGGAGGTCGAGGTTGATGAAGACACCATGTCATCAGTGAAAATCCTCTATGTGCGGAATCTTATGTTATCGACCACCGAAGAGACCATTGAAAAAGAATTCAACAATGTTAAGCCAGGTAACAGAAAGGGAGAAAGGCAGCTTGCTCAGAGGCTGTCAGTAACAGATACACGATTTACAAAGCTAAACTCACTCTCTCAGCCTAACCCACCTTACAGGGTTGTTATAAGGAGGAGGGGCAGAAGAGGACTGGAACAATAAAACAGCACTGGAAAGGCCACACACCCCAGGAGGAAACAAAGAGCATACCTGGCTGCCCAGACAGGCCTGCACTTTGTGGAGCTCCACTAAGGTTAGTTTCTAGACCAGGTCGTGATTGTCTTCCTCCACTAGGGTTGCCAGGTCCCTTTCATCTGCCGGCGGGGGGATGGGGGGACGTTCCAGAAGTAGGAAGTGGCATCACTCCCCATTCCCCCCCCCAAAAAAAGTGATATTACACATGACGTGCCTGCGTCACCCGGAAGTGATGTCGACACATCAGTGACATTGGGGGTGATGCTTGGATTTTGGGCAAAACACTATGGTAAAATCAGCATCAAACCACAGAGTTTCATCCAGAATTTTTGGGCAAAACACTATGGTAAAATCAGTTTTGTCCAGAATCCAGAGCGTCACCCCAACATCATCATGTCACTTCCACGTGACACAGGCACGTCACACGCAACATCGCTGTTTGGGGGGACTCCTTTCCACCAGGCAGCTGGCAAGTGGCGAGCAGGAGCCTGTAAAATCAGAGGATCCCCTGCCCCCACTGGGCAAATGGCAACTCTAAGCTCCACCAGGCCAAGAACCTCCTTTCTTGCCCCAAACAGAGTGAGCGCTGCTGGTTTGCAGTGGCTTCCATGCACCTTGCATGGGAAGATGATTACCATTTGCTCAGGACTAGGGTGGCCCTGGCAGATGGTGGCCTCCAAGCCATCAGCCCCCCCCCCCAATGGCCTTAATGGCCCATCCTGAGCTCAAATGAACAAAATCAATGAACAGCAGACTTGAAACTTAGCCACTGCTTCACTGCTACTAGGAGGGGCATTTTTCAGGGAAGAAACAAAGAGCAGGTGTGGGTGTAACTTCCCCCTGCTTGCTGCTCCCTTCTCCCACTGCTTTGCCCCTGGGCTGGCATACTGGAATCATGTTGGCCACATTCAAAATCTATTTACGTTACTATTGGTGCACATGAAATTCCTTGAAACTGATCAGGTTGCCTTTATTTAAGCAGCATCTTCTCTACCTGTGAATAGTTTCTGGTCAATGAGCATCTCACCCTTCTTGAACTTCCTCTCTTCTCACCTGATTGCTTTCATGCAAAACCATCCTACAAATCACACCGTGTACTTAAAATCACATGCCTTAAGAGGACTTGGGTGACAGAACGAATATTGCAGAAACACGGGCTGTTCAGAAATCTTAAGGTGCCACACCTTTCAAGGTATTCTTAATTAGAGTGAATGCCTGTATGGTATCTCAGATGTAGGTAACAGCAGGAGGCATGTTGAAGGCTTCAAGTTACCAAAGGGTACCTTGAAACAAGGCAAGTTCTTAGTGCTCTGTATTAGCTGCTGCTGAGCTGAGATTAAGCACAGAAATAAAAAAAATGGACAAGTGAGCAACCCCCAAAAATTCAAATTAGTTTAATTGGTCATGCCTGGCAGAAATCTAAAACCTTTTTTTGTGTGTATGGTGGTGGTGGTGGTGGTGGTAGTGATGGTGGTACAAGCTGAATACCCGACTGACACTATTACAGACTTTCTGCGTTGATTTAATAGAATGTTACATAACTGCCAACAGTTATACCCAGCCATCAAAACTGAGATTAACAGGCATAAAACCTCAATTCCATTGCACACAACTGAAAGCACAAATTCTCCAGTGGCTCATTACAGGCCCAAAGCTCGGATACAAAAACTCAATGATAAGGGAAGCAATTATATTCAGCTTCAAAAGTCTCCACACTTAGCCAAATATATAGCTTCTGACATAGGGATTTTTTTAAAAAAACAAACATTATTTTTCTGTGTATGATGATTCACTACCACAGCTCTGTTCATTTGGATTTCTACTCAACCTATCCCCTAGGGCTCAGCAGCAAGCTACAAGTTAAAATGCACGTAAAATATATAAACATTCGGGATGTTAAGCAGGGCAATCTTAAACAAAATTACACCCTACTAAAGTCAGTGGGCTCAAAAGGGTATATTGTTAAAATATCCAGTTCTATGACTTTCCTTTTGCCACTTTTCAGTCACTTTGTGAGCCCCTGGACCACATCACGCCACGCCCTCCTGTCTTCCACCTGTTTTGTACTGCTTTCCTAGACTTTCCATATTCCACTATGGGCTGTGTTCACCAGCACTCCATTGACCAGTGGGAGAAATTTAAGAATTTAAAAACAATACACCATCGGCAATGGTGTGACTCCATTTCCAGGTTTGCCTGGAACTGATGTCACACCTCTCTAGAAATTGCCAGATACCTAGAGAGGCATGATGTCACTTCCAGGGGAAAACCCCCCCAGTGATTCCTAGACAGGCATAAAGTCACTTCCAGGTCTTCCCAGAAATGATGTTACGTCCTCATTGACAACTCTCCGTCTGTGTCCCTGCATTCACCCCAGTCTCCTGCTGGTGGCCGGGCCAGGTCTGGCAAAGCCTGATCCTGCCCCATTCTGGCATGGGGAGCATTTTTCTCTCATCTGCCTTTCTGCCCACCCCTGTGAAGAAGCCTTCCACTCCTCTGAGCATGCACTATACTGCTGCATCAACCGCCTTCCCTTTTTTGAAATTGCAGTGTGGGATTTGCTGGTCACTTTGGGACTGAGTAGGAAATTGAGAGAAGCCTTTTTCTCTGATGGGTCAAAGGTGGGTGGTCTTTCTTTTTTCTTTCTCTTTCTTTCTTTCTTTTTTTGTTTGTTGCTTGCTTCACATTGCTTGAAAACGGAGCATGGTCCAGTGAAAGCACAATCCACTAACTGGTTGTTTAGGGATTAGATGCCAGGGTGGGAAGTACGATTTGTGGCAGAAGCATAAGGATAATGGTGGGCAATCCAAGGAATCTAACCCCTCCTGGACAACCAGTTTGAAGAGGTTTGGGCAACATCACTTAATCCAAGTTGGCATGCAGAGAACAGTCACCTCCAAGCACCCACTTAAGTGTGCAGGCAGTGAAAAATGAGGCACAGTAAACACTGCAGTGCCAGGGTGGATTTGCCTGAACACTGGTAGGCGCCAGTTAGAACTACGAAAGCACGGAGAAGTCATATACACATACACTTCCCATTTTCTTATAGTTCCAGGATTAGATCATTGTAAATATATTTAAACAATGTTATGCATGTGGATATATTTTGATTTTAAGGCAAATCTTGGCCTTGTTTTTCATTAATTGTGCAATTAGGAGAAGCCATCTAGAAATACAGTAAATGAACAAATAAAATCGCCCCATCCACCACAAATCAGTTGTTCACACATGTGGGTCGATCTAGGGTTGCCAACTCCTGGTTGGGAAATTCCTGGAGATCTGGGAGTGCGGCATGGGGTTTGAGGGGGGGGGCAGGATGTCAGCAGGATATAATGCCATAGACCCTATCCTCTAAAATAGCCATGTTCTCCAGGGGAACTGGTCTGTAGTCTGGAGATCAGTTGTCACATTTGGTTTCATGGAGAGTTTCTGTGGACTGGAGGATTTGCTCCAGCAGAGAGAGACTTCATTCCCTCTCCCTCCCACTGCAGACCCCAGTGTCCCCCCAATGCTGTTCTGGTTGTCCCGTTTCCCAGGAACAGCATTTGGGTGGGACATTCGTGGCTGCAGTGGGAGGGGAAGCAAGAAAGTCTCCCTCTGCAGATAGAAATCCTTCCATCATTAGAAATGCTACATCACATTACTTGTCTTAGCACGGGAATCCATGCGGATAAGCAAAAGTGCAAAGGGGTTTGTCACACTCAGTTTTAGTAACACATATTCAGATCCCACACCAGAAAGCTGGTAAAGAGTATATCACTAAGTTAGCATAATAAGTACAAATAGATTGGCTAAATGGTTCACTGCTTGCAGTGCTAAGGTTTAATATTTACTGCAGAATAATCACATTGAAGAGTGTAGAATAACTGTGAAAGATCAGTGCCTTACCAGCGTTCACTGCAGACCTAATATCCAAATCTCTTTTACAGGATCAGTTGAACGAGTAAAGAAAATCAGAGACTATGCATTTGTGCACTTTAATAACCGAGAACATGCCATTGAAGCCATGAAAATCTTGAATGGGAAGGTAACGTTGGATTCATTTAGTATTTTGATACAGCATGTGTAAGAGAATAGCATAGACATGGCTTAAGAAGCTTTCATAAAGATGGTCAATAAATACACAGTAAAAAATAATATGTAGTGCCACCAATGTGGATCTGGCCCGAATAATTTTGGTTTGCTGTGATTATCTGTTCCTGGAAATCTGTGATGTTCAATGCATGCTTAGAACTCGAATCATGAGCCATTTGGTGAACTACCTGCAGGACTGAAACATATCTGCTATTTATACTTTTATACAGTTTGAAACAGCAAAGTACTAGCCTAAACTATTCCATTTTGACTACATGCAATTTATTTCCAGGGTATCTTTTGCTCAAACCGTAGCTGAAACTATTTATTTATCACTTGAAATTCATATACCTGCCTTTTAATCTTTTATTTATGCTATTGCTGACATAAATAGATAAAAAAATCAATTAAAAGAAAGTTTAAAAGGCCACAAAAGTACCAAAGGGAACAAAATCCTAATTTTTTAAAAATTAAGCCATAAAATCCTAGCTAATATAAAAGTCTATACTAGAGTCCAAACACTTTCCAACAAACTGACCTGCTGGACAGTTCCATAAGGACAGTGATACCCACAGAAATAGACTGCTTGTTCACAGCTGCCCTCCTAACTTCAGTTAGGAAAAGACACAGCAAGGTTTCTCTGGATTACCTCAGAGTATAGGGATGAGTCTGTGGGGGTAGACTAAGTCTGCCAACTTACAACTGATCTCCAGGATATAGAGATCAATTCTCCTGAAGGAAATGGCTTCTTCAGAGGGTGAACTCTATGGCATTACACCCCGCTGAGGCCCATCCCCTCCCCAAACCCGGAAGCTCCACCCCCAAATCTCCAGGAATTTCCAAATCCAGAGTTTGGAAGGAGATAGTAGGTTGGATCCACCAGAAATTTCTGAAGATGGAAGGCTTTTCTGTATTGGAGCAAGATTTTCTGCAGCGAGCTTAGCTAAACCTCAGAATCTGGTTTTCAGTTTTGGTAACTGAAATGTGTTTTAATGCTTATGTATATTTCATTCCCCTTCCCCCTTACACTTTCCGTTAATTTTGTCCTAAGGTGGTGGATGGCTCTCCCATTGAGGTTACGTTAGCCAAGCCAGTAGACAAAGACAGCTATGTGCGATACACCAGAGGTACAGGAGGACGAGGGGCAGTTTTGCCAGAATACACCTATACATTTGGGCATGTCTATGATCCTGCCACAGCCTATCTGGGAGCCCCAGTGTTCTATGCACCTCAAGCCTATGCTGCTATTCCCAGTCTCCATTTTCCAGCTGCAAAAGCACACCTGAGCAACAGGGGCATTATCAGGCCTCCATCGATCAGAGGTAACTCTGTTTTGAAGTGCTTGTTTAGGGCATAAATAGGACATTAGCAATCCATGCAGGCAAAGTTTTCTGAACTTCTTTAACTCGATAAGTAGATGAATGGTGGAAATATCAGCGTTATCGTCACAATGCAATTCCATGTACACATTTCTCCAGTCGCACAGGTCCAAAGCAACATTCCCTCTATTTTCCCCCCCTACTGAGCAGAGCAGTTCACATTCTGAGAAGAATATAAATGCTGTAATCTTAAAATGGGCAGTGGGCAGTGCAAGACCCTGCTCAGCTCCAGATCGCTGCTGATTGGGGCTTCTTGTGTTCATGAGCGGCCACTCACATGCACAGCTTAGAGGAATCATGGTCCACAGTTCAGTGCATCGAAGACGGATGCCAATCTGGACTTGCAAACTGGCATGTGTAAATCAGATGTGCCTGCCAGACTGCATGAGCTGCCATGGAGGTCACTGTTGGTGAAATTGTGGGTTTGATTTCTGTGGCGTGTAAAAAGTAGAGGCCAGATCAGGGAGCAAGACTCACTGCCTATTAGAGCTGTCAAGCCCCAGGTGGGGATGGAGTATTTCTTGCCCCCCAGCTCCTGTTAATAAACAGAAGAACTGGCCATTAGCCCAACCTTATATTTATTTATTTATTTAACTTATACCCTGCCCTCCCCACCGAAGCGGCTCAGGGCGGCTTACCTAAAACCATATACATTTCAATATAATTGACACCTTGTGGTGTCAGTTCTGAGGAAAACCTGAAAGTGACATCAGTCTTCTCTAGGAATTGTTGGAAACTCTATCGTAAATCATAAGTGATGTCATGACCTTACCACCGGTGCCTCCCCCATGTCTCCAGGTGGTTAAGTGCAGGGACTCTAATCTGGGAGAACCAGGTTTGATTCCCCACTCCTCCACTTGCACCTGGCTGGATGACCTTGGGCAAGCCATAGTTCTGATTAGAGCTGTTTTTGAAAATGAGCAGTTTCTGTCAAGAGCTCTCTCAGCCTCCCCTACCTCACAGGGTGTCTGTTGTGGGGAGAGGAAGGGAAAGGAGTTTGTAAGCCGGTCTGAGACACCTTTGGGTAGTGAAAGGCGGGGTATAAATCCAATCTCTTCTTCTTCCTCACCTACCAGGCTATAAGCAAAGCTATGCTTCTCTTTATGTGCTCCTTCTGGGAAAGGTTTGTTTAGACATGTAAAGAACTGAAAACTCACACACACACAAAGCTCAGGTCTACAGCTGATGTGCATGAACGTACAAACACACCACCTCTGATTGAGTTCCACAGATACAACTTTCATATTACTCATGTCGAAGCAAAGTCAGTGCTTTGCAACACCAATTCTCGCAGCCATTTCCATGCCTTCAAGTGCTTGAGTAACTCAATGATGGAAAAAATCAAGTGATGAACATGCATGTGTGAATCATCTTACTAAAACGAGCCAGTTATAAAGTGTAGCAGGAACAGGTGAGATGAATGAAGGTGGCAGATTTGGGGGTGGCAAAAACAGAGTCAAACATAATTGATTTAGAGATTTAGATGTAGAAATATATGCCTACAAATTTTAATGTCTGATGTGTTTATACCTTAAAGGGAAACCAAGTTAGAAAAGAGATCCCCCCCCAATCAAATTAATCTGTACATAAATTCAATGGACAGGTGAGCCTCATATTAAACTGAACAGAAGAGAGGAGATGGGGAAAGTAATAAAGAATTCATTTGTGCTCTCCAACCACTATATCTCCAGGCCTCCCCAAAAAATGAAGGCCTGGGCTGTTAATAATAAGGGCCTGCCTTGAATTCAATACAAACCCGATACTGCAGGAAGGATAATGAGACAGCTATACATTGAAGTGGACTGCAGTTCCCAGGTTCATCATGTTTTCCAGATGGAGGCAGGTTTTTGGTTTTCTTTTTAAAAGTGCCTGGGTTGCTTGAAGCTTGCAAGCTAAAATTGCAAATACTAAAAATATGGAAAAAAACCCACAAGGTACAATGGAAGTTAGAATCATATAGTCCTTTAGGAACCTGTGCATGTTTATATCCCTTCCCTTCAAAGGCAATAAAGGAACTGTGTGCCTTTAGCGCTGATACTTCAGATCTATCTCAGGGAGCTTTGACTCTAGGAAGCTCATACGCTGAAAGTTTTGTTGGCCTCTAAGGCGCTACTGGATCTGAATCGAACTGTTCTCTCTAAATTGTGTCCTATAAACAACAAATAACAGAGACAGAAACACACACACAAAAAAGGTGTGTGTATATATGTTTGTTCATATATGAGCCCGTGTGTGGGGAGGGCGGTATAAAAGCCCAATATAATAAATTAATAAATATGTATTTTTTAAATCTGAGACCTGAGGCAGGCCCTATCACCCAGCCTAATGAGTGGGCTGACTGCCATCTGTAGCATTTTGATCTACCCAGAATTCCTTTCTCCAATCTTCTTATCCAGTGTCAATGTGTGGGGCCAAGCCTTCCATTACAATAAGAATCAGGGAGATTTTCCGTTGATTTGATTTCAGTTTAATGCCTTCTTACATTCCTAGAAATTTACATGAATGTACCTGTAGGGGCTGCTGGAGTTAGAGGACTAGGAGGCCGTGGCTACTTGGCTAACCCTGCCCTGGGTCGTGGATACCAACTCAAAGGAGAGAAGAGGGGAGAGGACAAACTCTATGATCTCTTGCCTGGAATGGAGCTTACACCAATGAATCATGTCAGTTTAAAACCACAAGGAATTAAACTTGCTCCACAGGTGGGTAAAATAAATTTAGAAAAAAATGTTCCAATCCTTGACCACTGCCTGTATTTTTGTTAGCCGCTAGAAAGTGGTTATAAAGAAAAATAATTGCTGATGTGCTTATGCCTTTCACCACAGTAGAGCTTTTTTCAACCTATTTTGCATGTATTAGTTTTTCCTACCCATTTTCCCCATCTGCCCCAGAGTTTGAGCTGAAACAGTACTCTCAAGGTTTGCACACAGTTACTTTAAGCTGGAAATGGGTTCCCAGCTCTGGCATGGTAAATTCCTGGGGATCTGGGGGTGGAGACCAGAGTTTGGGGAGGGAGTTCAGTGAGAATGTGCTTCCAGTGAGTCCAACTTCCAAAACTGCCCTCTCCAAGGGAACTCTGATCTCTGCAGTCTGGAGATCATTTGTAAATCAGGGAGAACTCCAGTCCCCAGCTGGAAGATGGCAACCCTAAATCTCACCATAAGTATGTGTGAATGCATGGACAGTTTAACTATCCCGCTGGAAGTCAAAGTTTACCAGCAGCATGACTTGCTGACTTCTTGATAGGAGGACTGGGCTGTAGTAGTACACATAAATGCCTGCCGTTGTAGTGCTGGCCAGCTGAGGAGGAGAAACGAAAGGCCTGCAGGCCACAGCTGATAGCTCCAAGAGGGCAGGGTAAATTGTAAACCAACTTTAGCCCTCTCTCATTGCAGCCTTCCTGCTTTGGGTTTGTGAACCAAGTAGGCTGGAGAGGACCTTGTGACTCTTCGTGGAAATATTTAAGCTATTGCATTTAGGCTTTGTCATTTGAAGTGAGTCACCCAAACACACAAAGCTGCCTTATGCTGCATCAGACTGCTTGTCTGTCAAGGCCAGCCTCACCTCCCCTGCTTGGCAGCCGCTCTCCAGGCTTTGAGGTCCTACCACCTACTGGTCAGTCCTTGTAACTGGAGATGCCTAGGACTGAACCTGGGACCTCCGACATGATTCAAAAGCTGTTTGGCAATTGGGCCCCTGCAAATTAGCACCATAGTTTTTTCAAACCAGAAGATTAAAAGGCATGTGCAAACAATCCCCCCCCCCCCCCAGCAATATAGTTTCCAGAAAGAAAAATATTTCAGGACTGATGGTCTGGGCCACACTTATAAGCACAGCATTCTAACAGCAGGGAATATATTTTTCATTCTAGATATTAGAAGAAATCTGCCAGAAGAATAACTGGGGACAGCCTGTCTACCAACTTCATTCTGCCATTGGCCAAGACCAAAGACAGCTCTTCTTATATAAGATCACTATTCCTGCTCTTGCCAGTCAAAATCCTACTATGTACGTTACTATTCTTCTTGCTGGGATTAATCCTGGGAGGGTAGGCATTTTTTGTGGTGTGTGGAGGTGGACATTTTTGTGCAATTTATTTGCAGCCTAATCGATCCTCTGTGTGTTTACTTGGAAGCAATTCCCACTGTGTTTAATTGGGCTTACTCACAGACCAGTGTGTATACGATTGCAGCCTTAGTATAATTACTCATCACAGCCAGACAATAAATTATTTCTATCCCTCTGAATTTGAACACAAAGGAGGAGGTATATTACTAATACAGTTAAACATTAATTATATATAAACAGAAATTATGCTTATTGGGGGGCTTGTGAATCACCCATTAATTTTATTGTGATCCTTCTTAAATGTTCCTTATTTCAGCTGAAATTTTTAAAATTAAAAGGAGACTCTAGGGTCGTTTTGATGATGGATCGTTAATTAAAAATAGCGATATGCAGGGCTCTTTTTGTAGAAAAAGCCCAGCAGGAACTCATTAGCATAATAGGCCACACCCAACAGCAGAAACTCATTAGCATATTAGGCCACACCCCTGACAGCACAGCTCATTAGCACATTAGGCCGCACCCCCATGTTACCAAAAGTGTGGTCATCCAACCACACCCACCTTTTGCTTCTTATTCTGTTTACCTTGTTTGTTGTCAAAACCCAGGGCTTTTTTTGTAGCAGGAACTCCTTTGCATGATAGGCCAAACACCCCTAATGTAGCCAATCCTAATGAGTTTCTGCTGTTGGGTGTGGCCTATTATGCTAATGAGTTCCTGTTGGGCGTGGCCAACTCAGGAGCCAACTGGAACTCCATTCCTGTGCGTTCCTGCCCAAAAATAGCCCTGGCGATATGTGTCATATAAACCTTGCTTTCCACCCGAGGATCACAGGCACATGGATCTCCCATAGTCATCCATGTGGAAGGAAATGTGGGACCAATAAGTATATGGCCCAGTTCTCTTTTCATAGGCAACTATGGGAGTACATCCAAGTTTACTGATCAGTGGGCAAAACTGAAATCTACAATCTGTTCATTTTGGGGTTGCAATCATTCCATGAAGACTATCTTCAGGGCTGGCTGCCTTCCTCATTCCCCTGCCCTCCCCTGGGCTATCGGGAGGTGGGGAAACTGCTCTCCCATTCCTCCCTTCCTGAGCCTCGGGAAGGTAAGAGGCTGCTGTTGACCCTCATTGTCCCCTGGCAGACAAGCGTGGGACTCACTGCCTGGGGGGAGGCAAAAAGCCATCCCCAGCCCTCCTCGGTCCCCTAGCGGAAGGACAAGGCCCTATCCACCCTCTTTGCCCCCCTGCTGGGCTGTGGTGAGGCACGAAGCTGCCGCCCACCCTCCTAGTCCGTGTCACCAGGTGGGGGGCAGGCAGGCGTGGAGCAACCACCCTGGCTATCTTGCAGATATCCTTTTAAACAATATTAGCGACATCATACTTGCAAAAAAAAAGTTTACATCAGAGAGAGTGAAGAATTGTTTGCCAAGATGCTAGTATTAGCAAAATGATGGAAACAGATGTTTGCCACTGATTTGTAGGCATCCCTTCACGCCGCCCAAGCTAAGTGCTTATGTAGACGAAGCCAAAACCTATGCAGCAGAGTACACCCTTCAGACCTTGGGCATCCCCATGGAGGGAGCAGAGACTCCGACTGCTACAGCTCCTTTCCCAGGTATGTAGAATACTGACAGATTCTTTTCCAGACCCTCTTTAATTGGCTGTTATGGGCCGCAAAATGATAGACATGCTTGAACCACGTCTCAGAGGTGGAATTTCACTTCCCTCTCTGTGCAGCCTTACTTAACACACCCTAGTCTATTCCAGTCACTATTTCACGGCTTAGCTTGACCACAAAGACATCACTGCAGGCTCAAGTGAGATGGATGGAGGTATTTATTCAAACAAGTTTTAATGATGTGCCTAATGCTGATGACTGTACATTTGCATTGGCTGGACTCCCTATGTATATATGTTTAGATTGGCAACTTTGGTCGAAGCCCCCAGGGGCAAACTACCAGCAGGGAAAATATTGAGATGTTGAAACTAAGCTTTAAATGCTTAAAGTTGAAATCACATATTTGGCATAGTGAACCAGATATTGTCTAGATCATGCATTAAAAGTTCTGATTAAATCTGGGCTGCATCCCCACATTATTAGATATTGTGTCACCTTTGCACTGCAGCAGCGTTCTGTAACTGGATTTTCTGGTGGGGACAAGACAACCCACTTGGGCTGCATTTACTTATGGCCGGGGGTTGTGCTATCCCAGATTTATTTCTTTGCTCAGTGCCTCCTTCCCTTGCCTGCTGTTCTCCCTGCAGCTTGAGGAGACATCTAATTCACACATGCAGTCAGTCATGATAATGGCAAAAAAATGCAGTTTCAAGGATTCAGCTCTGCATAGGAAGCTGTTCAAATGAAGCTGCTGTCCCCAAGTGTGAGTCCCCCTCTTCTGTTCCAGTTTCTCATCACAAGGTTAGTAACTGTTAGAGCCACACAGGGAGCTGCTTACGCAACGACTGTCACATACAGCAGCCTTTCCATGTATGCATTTCTGTCAGCCAATTCGTGTAACTCGTTGCGTATACAACATTGCACTGCAGAGGGTAATTGTAGGAAGATAGGAAGTGGAATACTGAGGAGTGAAAACAGCAGAGCAAAATTTCTGCCCCAAAAAGCAAACAGGAATTGCCAATCTGTTATAGTTCTGGTCCATGCAGATCCCAACCAGGTAGTCAGAGAACTAAGACAAAAGAGTCAAGTTTTGCCACTTTTCCAGAGACCGTTTAAATGCTAGAGAAGGAAATGTAACAGGCTGTCCAGTTTGGTTAAGTGCGCAGACTCTAATCTGGGAGAACCGAATTTGATTCCCCGCTCCTCTATTTGCAGCTGCTGGATGACCTTGGGCAAGCCATAGTTCTGTCAGAGCTCTCACAAGCAGTTCTCAAAAGAGCGCTCTCAGGGTATCTGTTGTGGGGAAGGGAATGGAGTTTGTAAGCTGCTTTAGTAACTGTTAGAGCCACACAGGGAGCTGCTTATGCAACAACTCTCACATACAGCAGCCTTTCCATGTATGCATTTCTGTCAGCCAATTCGTGTAACTCGTTGCGTATACAACATTGCACTGCAGAGGGTAATTGTAGGAAGATAGGAAGTGGAATACTGAGGAGTGAAAACAGCAGAGCAAAATTTCTGCCCCAAAAAGCAAACAGGAATTGCCAATCTGTTATAGTTCTGGTCCAAGCAGATCCCAACCAGGTAGTCAGAGAAGTAAGACAAAAGAGTCAAGTTTTGCCACTTTTCCAGAGACCGTTTAAATGCTAGAGAAGGAAATGTAACAGGCTGTCCAGTTTGGTTAAGTGCGCAGACTCTAATCTGGGAGAACCGAATTTGATTCCCCGCTCCTCTATTTGCAGCTGCTGGATGACCTTGGGCAAGCCATAGTTCTGTCAGAGCTCTCACAAGCAGTTCTCAAAAGAGCGCTCTCAGGGTATCTGTTGTGGGGAAGGGAATGGAGTTTGTAAGCTGCTCTGAGTGAAGGGCGGGATAGAAATTCAATATCTTCTTCTTCCTCTCTTCTTAAGGGCCAATAAATACAAAACTAGGGATGCCACCCTCCAGGTGGGACCTGGGGTCCCCCAGAATTACAGCTCATCTCCAGACTACAGACATCAGTTCCCCTGGAGAAAATGGATGCTTTGGAGAGTGCACACTATGGCATTGTACCGCCTAAGGCTCCATCCCCAAATCTCCAGGAGTTTCTCAACCTGGATCTGGCAGCCCTACGCCCCATCCCCTGCCATTGGCCAGGGGGGACCGGGCAACCCTAAATACAACCACATAGCCAGTGGTAGCTGCTCCTCCCTGGTTTTGCTTGTGGAGAGTGACTTGTGTGATTCATTCACCATGAATGGAAGCTCCAAGCTTTGCACACCATCACAAACCTTCTCAGGATGGATAGGGTGCTGACATACAAAGTACAGTTTCTGCTTGTAGCAAAGAAGTCTGCAAAGGAACATTTTGGAGTGAATTATACCATAAGAAAATAAGCAGGGACATGCAGGATAAAACCAGTGGCCCATCTGTCTACCTGAGGGACCGTCTTTCCTCGTATGTTCCCCTGAGAGCACTGAGATCCGGGACACAAAACCGCCTGGTCCCCCCTGGCCCTAGGGATGCTAAGTTAACAGCAACAAGTACCAGGGCATTCTCCCTAGCTGCACCGATGCTATGGAATGAGCTCCCAATTGAAATTTGAGCTCTGCGGGAACTTCAACAATTCCGTAGAGCGGTGAAGACCAAGCTGTTTCGACAAGCGTTCTAATAGCCCTGGCCACACTGGCTGTGTCGCATAAGCACTAGCACTTTATAACGGATGGCCGCTAAATCTCAATAGGTTGAATTTATTGTAATGTTTTATGGTTTTTCTTTCCCTCCTCATGCCCCACCCTCTCCAGGATCCACCCTCAAACCTCCAGGAATTTCCTAACCCAGAGTTGGCACCCCCACCATTGCCCTGTTTGGGTGCTTCAATAGGCTTAGTCTGGCATTTAAAAAGCCAGATAAAGAAACGGTAAAAGGCAAAGCTGGAACTCTGGGTTACAAGGTGTGGCATGTTCTTTCTGTTCTTTAATGTTTAAGTACAGCTACCAAACTGCTGTGGGGACTGAGGGTAAGGACCAGTCACTCCAGTTATGCTAGAGGTGCTAGCCTTCATCTCTACTCTTGATATGAGAAAGTGGCTGTCCCTGGTTCAGACACAGCAAAACAGAGAACAAAGTTGGCCTGAACTGCTGGTGCTACAAAGCCACCTGTGCCACACTTAAAATGTTATACCTGTCTCCAGCTTCAGATGACCCACTTGCAGCAACAGAAACCTGCCACAGAGGACAGAAGATAGCAGCCATCATGATCTAAAGGCACCTTGGCCCTTTTTAATAGACAGGCCATTACAATTATTTAAAACAAACTGGCAAAGTAGGCCAGTTGGTATTAATTAAGTAAAGCAGATCGAATTCAGCGCAGGTTTGTCTAAAATTCTCCCCCAGATGTATGTGTGGAGTGAACATTTTTAAACCCACCTCTTTCAGCAAAGTGCAGAACACTTCAATGGTGTCAGCAAAGCATTGTTCCAGTGTGTAGAGGAGAGCCCAGTACAATTATTTGAATCTTTATTAGTGGTTGTGAAGAAAGAACCAGGGTGGTGAAATGTTCCTCACCAAACTGAGCCAGAGGAAAAACACTGTGACCTTGTGAATGCCCCAGTTCTTCAAAGAGTAGATATCTGGCGTTCTTTATTTTTATTATTTATATTGTATTCCATCAGATGATTCTGTAAGCTGCTGGGGGAAAAAAGGGGGAAGCAAGAAAGAGAAAGGCTGTGTTGTGTTCTTT